GGACCAGGTGTGATGGGCCTGGATGTGCCGCCCACCCAGGGGGTTTCAAGGTGTGGGCAGGGCTACATCCTTCTGGAGCCTCCAGGGGAGAATCAGTTTCCTGGCCTTTTCCAGCCCCTGGGGCTGCCCGCATTCCTTGGCTCCTGGCCCTTACGTGGCGGGGAGGGGGCTGACCTTCCTCCACAGTCACATCTCCGTCCACCCTCCTCTCCTGTTTGTAAGCCCCCTTGTGATCACACTGGACAATCCCCAAATAGTATCTCCCTGTTTTAATGTCACCTGATTAGCAACCTGGGTAACAAGCTTACAGTTTCTGGGAATTAGGATGTGGGCGTTGCTGGGGGCCCGTGAACCTGCCCGCGCCGCAGATTCCTTCATGTGTCTGTTTTCATTTGCCATGAGGGTCTCCCCTCCTCACCCACCGCACCCAACACCTGGCTGCCTGATTATCCCTGTGGCAACCTGGCACCCAGTGGGAGAGGCCCTCCTTGGCATGCCCAGGGGCCAGCAGGAAGGATCATTTGTCCTCTAGGAACGTGAGGAGGGGCAGGACAAGGTGAGGTTTATGGCCGTTCTTCAGGGGCCCCACCTGCGTGTCTGACACCCTCGGGGCTGCCCACGTGGTCCCTCTGGGCTGTTTTCATGGCCCTCTCTGCCTGGGAACGAGGGCTCGTGAAAATACCCTGCTGCCTCTAGCTGCTTCTCGGCAGGTCCCGCTCCTGGCAGCTACCCACCCCCTTACCCAGGACTCCTCAGAAGAAATAGCCAGCGCCTCATGTTGGAGCCGTGTCAACAGAGGAAAGCCTCACAGCTGGCATCAGCCCTGGCTCTCAGCTCGCCTCCCATCAGGCAGCCTGTCACCCTGGGGCACTGTGCTGGGCTCGGATCCTGGCCTCCTGGCGGGGAGGGCATCTGGCTTATTCCCATTTGTCCTCATGTCAGCTTCCAAATTTTGCCTGTCCCATTAAAGATGTGTTTCTTACCTTCTGTGGGAGGAGAAACAAACACATTTCTTCATCAGGAGCCACACTTTTTGAACAGCCAGGATCATAAGGGTCACCTGCCCACGCAAAGCTGCCCTAGTGGGCCAAGATGGTTGAGTGGTCTGGGCTGATGTGCTCCCTCCAAGGCTGAGCTGGGCTCGGCTGGGCTGGCGAGGGATGTATCATCTCGCCATCTAGCGGCCAGTGGTGGGACTGGGCGCAGTGAAGGCTCAAGAACTGTCTGCCCGAGAGAGTTGGTTATTCCACCGTAGTGGTCCCAAGACCTGGCTGTGCTGCAGAATCACCCAAGGAGGTTTTAAAAAATACAGATGCTCAAGCCCCACCCTACATCTATTGCATCAGAAACTCTGAGGCCTGAAAATCTTCAGTTTAGCTTTAGAATGTAGATTCTCAGGCCTTACCTTCCAACTCTAATTTACTAGGTTTGGGAAAGGATTTGGAAATCTGAATTCCTATCGAGATTTCTCCAGTAACTCCATGGACAACTTGACTTGAATACTACTGACTCAGTTTCCCACAAGTTAAATAAGACTGTAGGATGTGGATTTTTTTTTAAAAGCTGATGTTGTATTTGGTCATATTCTAGAAGCCTAAAGCCCAGGATAGAGGAGGATATAATATAGTGATTAATATCTGGGTTCACACCCTGCTTTTTTTACTACCAATTGTTTGACCTTGGGCCAATGTCTGAACGTCTTTCTGCTTCTGTAAAGTGGCTATAAGGATACCTGTCTGTCAGTGTTGTTGCGAGGACTCAGTGAGATCAGGTGTAAGTACTTAGCAGAGCACCTGGCCCTTAGGAAGTAGGTCTTGTATTAACAGTCCCACTGCCCAGCTCTGTTGGGGGGTGGGTACTGTGTCTGATTTTAGTGACATATTTGTGAATGGAATGTCTAGAGGAGGAGGAGATGGAAGAGCTGGGGACCTGGAGAAGGCATAAGGGCCTGTAACTGGGGAGAAGAGGTGTTTGGTGAGCAAGGCATGTGCCCTGCTTTAAAAATACCAGGCCAGGCTCCAGGGTGCAAGAAGGGATGGGGATCAGGGGGCAATTTGTGTGAGCAAACACCTTTGAATCCCTGGAACTAGGAAGGGTGTAGATTGACTTGGGGTAGTGAGCTTGCTGTCATAGCAGGTGGCTGAATGAGAACTCTGTGCCAGAAGACAGCGGTTCCCAGCTTGGCTTTAATGGGGACTACACAGACAAGCATTCGCTGCAATAGCTATTTATATACTCATATAAATATATACTCAACATATATTTGTACATATACTTTGTACATATATGTATGTATTTGTACCCATGTATGTATGTATGTTTATGTATTAGAAAAAAAGTAAAACCAGTATCTTAGGCCTGTGGTTTTACAGAAGTGGGTAGCAATTATCAGGTCTGAGCCTGACATTTAAAATACAGATATGAAGTGTTAAGGACTGAATGTTTATATCCCCCCAGTTCATACATTGTCCCTAATCTCCACTGTGACAGTATTTGGAGATGAGGTCTTTGGGAGGTGACTGGATCATGAGGAAGGAACCCTCGAGAACAGGATAAATGTCCTTATCAAAGAGACCCCTCAGAGCACCCTGGCCCCGTCCACCATGTGAGGATCTAATGAGATGGCCATCTGCAACCCAGAAGGGGGCCCTCGCCAGCACCTGACTGTGTGCACAGCCTGATCTCACCCTTGCAACCTCCAGAGCTGTGAGGAATAAGTGCCTGTTGTTTATGAGCCCCCAGTCTATGGTGCTTTGCTATAGCAGCCGGAACAGACGAGGACATGGAATCAATAATCACAGATCAGGTTTGCAGATATGGCAGAAAGTGTCCAGGCAGTCTGGGGGAACCTGCCTCGGAGGAACTTTCTGTTGGGTTTATGAACTGCAGGTCACCTTCCCTGAATGTAGAGTGCACCCCATGGCTCCCACACTCTCGTGGATCCTGGAGGGTGGTGCCATCTTTCATGAGTCCAAAGCCGCCAGTGACCTCAACGCTGGAGTTCACTGGGTTAAGTGGCCATGAAACCACAGCCACAGATGGTTCCAGAGAGGGAAGGAGGGAACAGGCCTGCCCTTTTGGCCCCTTGCCCACCGAGCACGCATCTCCTGCAGACATTTCCCTGGACTTTTTGGTTTTCTTCCCCCACACACCTGCTTTCAGGTTATGCTTCTGTTTGTCCATTTGATCTTGGCTTTCTGGCCTCTAGCACTGTGAGATACTAAATGTCTGTTCTGTAAGCCCCACCTCGTAGGTTGGCCCCACTCACACGGGCCTCCTCTCCTTGTGGGCTGGACACGGCAGCCTGCAACTGTGAGGCACGTCTTAGAGCTCCAGATCCAGAAGGGAAGTGAGGGCTGACCTTCCGTTCGCCATGCTGAACCGCCTAGGCAAGGGTGCTGATTTTCCCTTCTCAGATCTCAGTGCCCATTCCTGGGACCATTTGCCATGGCCAAGGGGCTGCAGAATCAGGATTGGTCTAGCGAGGAACATGTGACCTCCCTGAAGGTGGGAGTGGGGGCATGGTAGTGGGGAGGGAGGGAGGCAGTGGGGGCAATAGAGGGGGCAGAGTCCCATCCCTAAGAACTATGGGAAGTGAGGGTGGAGCAATCCCCCAAGACCTGCAGAAGAGGGGAAAGCTGCTCAGCAGAGATGCTGAGGCCCAGATAGGGAAAGGAATTGGCCCCAGGCCACACAGCCTGTGTCTGTGATCAGGTCTCCAGGGGACAGTCAGCCCCTGCCCGGTCTCCGACTTACAGCATGATTAGCAGAGTCAGGTGGGCGGGTGCATCAGCTGCCCTCCGGCTCCATCCACAGATTTGCTGTGAGGATCTAGGCAATTGTCCAAAACTTCCTGCTTGTTACTTTAAAAAATAAAATAAAATGGGGATGATGGAGGTGTAGCGTGAGATTAGCTATTATAAGTACTCACTCTACCAGACTGCTCTCCTCCCTAAATTACTACCGTGTTTTAAGTCAGGATCTGCCTTTGCGCGTTAAACCTGTAATTTACAGAGCGGCTGGCTGCCAGGTGGAAGGAGTGGACCCGGCTTCCAGTAGTGCTGGACTTCACAACGAGCAAATCTCTTCTGCCCTGGGCACATCTGGCTTCAGGAATCTTTCACCATTAACAGCTGGGTGTGGCTGGCCAGCCTTAGACGAGTAGGTGGGCACCCAGACTCCACAGGGAGCCAGTCTACCAGCAGGCAAGATCCGGACTCCCACTCACAAGCCCCAGGCCCTGTTAATCTATGCGAGCTTTCTGTGCCTCAGCCTCCCTTGTGTTAGGAGAGAAAGACAATACCTACCAGAAGGGGTTGCTGGGGCATTAAATGGGCAAAAACATGTATAGCTGTGATTCTTAATCTGGGGACGATTTCTTCTGCCCAAGGGACACTTGGCAATGTCCAGAGAAATTTTGGGGTTGTCATGACTGGAGGAGGGTGATAGTGGCACCCAGGGAGTAGAGGCCAGGGATGCTGCTACACGTCCCGGACAGCCCCCGACAAAGTGGGTCCAGAATGTCAACAGTGCCGAGGTTGAGAAGCCATGCTGGAAAGGACAGGGCAGGTGTCCAGCCAACGCTGGCTGTTATTAGGTCTGACCTCTGTGTCGAATGCCCCTGAATCCTCCATTCTGTTTCTGGTGCTTCTGTGAGCTGCTAGGTACCTGGACTCAAGTTTCTTTCCCTCTCTGAGTATCAGGGGGCTTTTCTCCCAGGGCACATTTAGGGAGAGGGAGCATCTATCAGCAAAGAAGAAACCCATTGGGCCACATTAAAGGATCCCACTGCCACAGTGCCCTAAGAGCCAGAGGGTTCTCTTACCCGTATGTGCATGACCCCAACCCCTGGGGGGCTTGCAGCCCTATCTGACTGAGCCAGTAAGATCCCACCCCGAGACTTTGCTAGGCTTTGCTCTTTCCAGATCAGAGCCTGTCTCTCAGGTGGAGGTTGCTAACCTCGTGGGAGGTCGTGTGTCTCATGGCCATTTTGCCAACAGCTGGGGACAGCCTGTCCGAGAACGAACCCACTATAGAGGAAAACAAAGCCAAGAGATGAAGAAAGGCAAAGATCCTGAAACTGCTGTTTGCATCCAGCTCGTCCAAAGCCAGCCAGAGTTCTGGACTGTTCTTCACATGAGCCAATACATTCCTTTTTATTTTTAAACCAGTGTTTGAACTGAGTTTTTATCACTGTCATTGGCCAATGCAGAAATCCCACCTGCCCTAGAATCTTTTCTTTCTTCTGGTTGTGTTTTTTAGTGACTTTATTATTTTTTTTTCCTTTGCCAAGTCATAAGCTTCTAGAGCAACTAAATTCCCTCTGGGCGCAAGTAGCAGAGTTGTCTAATAAAACTGGTTGTTGGTGGGGATTTATATGGAGATATCATACGGGGATTTAATGCAGTCAAGAGAGGCAGGGCCTGGGTGGAGGGGAGTTCAGCAGAGGAAGAGGATGTTAGACCACAGAGACTGTGCAAAGATCCTGGGACACTTGAAATGTGCAGATGTGACTGAGGAATGGAATTTTACATTCTATTTCATTTTAATTAATTAATAATTAAAAAAGCCGCACGAAGCCAGTGGCTGCTGCCAGACAGCACAGCCATGCAGCGTCTTGCATGGTGTGGGTGGTGCTCTGTGAATTTTTATTTTTTTGTTCTTCAATTTAGTCATTTGTTTAACAAACGAGGAGTGCGTGCTGGATGCTGTACTAGGGAATAAAGTACTGTCGTGGGCCCCATGCAAATAACCCTCATGCAAAGCTGAAAGTTTCAGTGGAGGCCCAGGTGATGGTCTGGAAGTTGAGTGGAGAGCCGTCGTGGCTGGAGAGAAGTTGGGAGGTGGGATTATGAGGGGATTAGTCAAGTGCTAACACTGATCCTGAGATGAATGAATCCATCTGTGCTCTGCTGAGGCGCTCTGGGAAGTGGGCCTGCATTGCAGAGACAGCTGGAGGCAGGGCCAGACAGAACCCGGTGTGTGCAGACAGGCTTAGCTGGGAGGCCCCGGGAGAGGCCCTCCACTCTCCATATCTATTTTCTCATCAGTAAAATGGAATTAGTAATAGTACATGCCTCTTAGGATGGCTTTAGGATTAAATGAGTTACTTGTGCAAATCCCTTAGCATACAGTGAGCATTTTGAACAAACACACAAACAAAATCTTAGTGGCTACTTATTACAACTCAGCCCCCTCCTCTGGGAGGTGTGGTGAAGCTTGGGGATCCTCAGGGAGACCCAGCCCCTCATCTCAGCCCTGCACTGGGCTCCACTTCTGCACAGGGCCAGGGCCTTCCCCACACACCTGCCCTAAGTGCCAGGGCTGCCTGTGCTGTGGGGCACTGACCCAGGAAGCAGGTACGATGAATCCCAGTGCATCATTCTGTGGGCTGGGGAACCCAGGTTAGCCATGAGCCAGAGCAAAGGGGAAAAGTCCCATTCGCAGAACGTGGGACTTCATGTCCAGTTGTGTCACTTAGGAAGCACTGATTATATTAGGAATGACACAGTGGACAGGTACCAGATCAGGTGCCCTGGGCGTGGGCCAAGGCCCAGCAGAGGGCTGCCACTGTCTGATGCCCCTTCAGCACCCTCAGGACATGAGCCTTTTTCTCCCTTCTTTCCAGCCACATGGAAAAGTCTACTTTTTCAGTCCCACTTACTCTAGCCCTCCTGCCACAGGATCTTTGCACAGTCTCTGTGGTCTAACACCCTCTTCCCTCTGCTGAACTCCCCTCCGCCCAGGCCTTGCCTCTCTTGACTGCATTAAATTCCTATATGCCATCTCCATATAAATCCCCTGCAACAACTAGCTACCTCTACCCTCAGGACTGGTTGCAATTACACTCTCATGTTGCTTGAGGAGTACTTGGTTCCTGTCTATATTCCCCACTGGACTGTAAGCAATGCAAGGGCAGAGACCAGGTGGGATTTCACTTGCCATCATATCCTTAGCATTGAGCTCAGAGTCGGCCTGCCTGGAATGTTCTTGCCCCAGATCTTTGCAGGGCTGGCTTCTTCTCAGAATTCAGGTCTCAGTTCAAAAGTCCTCTACGCCCTCCCTCTGTCATACCTTTCACCATCTGAAATCAACTGTCTGCACCATGGATGAGCTTCTTGTCCTCCTTTGCTACCTTATGTAAGTTCTGCTCTATATCCCAGCACCAAGAACAGACCCTGGCACTCAGGCAGAGTCACTAAATATGGTATTTTTGGTCAGCCTACAGAAACTGGCCCGCCTGGGCCTGTCTCACGATGTCTTCCGACTCTTCCCAAATCCTGCCTGTTCAGTGCACACTTCCCGTACTCACCCCCTGCCTGACGTCAGCATTGAGCCAAGGAGTCAGGCTGGGTTCCTGTCTGGGTCACTGGGGTGGGGCTCCAGCAGGGCCCTCGGACACCTGGGTGGAGCCCACAGGCCAGTCCCTCCCTCCTGCAACTTGGGATTTGCTAGGAGGGCCCCGCTGTCTGCCATGATCTACACACTCAGTGTGTCTCTGGACCAGCAGCGTCACTGGGAGCTTTGTAGAAAGGCTGAATCTCAGGCCCCACCTCCCAGGCCATCATCTGCATTCCAAAAGCACCTGCCCCTCCCAGGTGATTGTGAGCCTGTTAATGTCTGAGAAGCATTGTGCTGAGACCGTGTGACCACTGCTCTAGGCAGAATGTTTGTGTCCTCCCAAAATGCGTGTTGAAACCCTAACCCCTAAGGTATTTGGAAGTGGGGCCTTTGGGAGGTGCCCAGTTCATGGGGCTGCGGCTCTCATGATGGGATTAGTGCCCTTCTCAGAAGAGATGGGAGCAAGCTGGCTTCCTCTCTCTCTCCCTCCTCTGTGTGAGGACACAGTGAGAGGGCAGCCACCTGCACACCAGGAGGAGAGCCTGGCACCCTGATCTTGGACTTGGCAGCCTCTGCCGTTTAAGCCCCCAGCCTCTGATATCTTGTTAGAACAGCGTGAGCTGAGACAACCACTGCAGATCTAGTCTGGCAATCTGGAAATTCCAGAACCTGGGAGGGGTGAGATGGGGGAGCAAAGGACACAAAGGGAGGGGACTTGTCAGATGTTCCCCTCCTGACAGTGGGGTCCCAGGACAGAAGGCTGAGCCCTGACAGGCAGAGCAGGTCCCAGACTTTGCCAGCAGGACAGAGAGCCCCTGAACTGCACTCTGAGTGATGCTGCCCAGTAAGGTAAGTCCCCTGCTGGAAGGTAGGGCGGGGTTGGAGGTGTGCAGGGGGTGAGCCTGGGGTTTGCAGGCGGATGGCTGGGTTCAAATCCCTGCCATGTGACTTCTTAGCTTTATGGAGTTGGACAGGGCCCTCCTCCTTTCCAACCCCAGTCTCTCCATCTGTGAAACGGGTTATTAATCTCTCCTCTGCTGGGAAAATTAAATGACAACACACATAGAAAAAGGCTACAGATCAATACAGCGCTGTGCAGTAGTATTTATTGTTACAGTGTTAAAATTCACTCTTGAGAAGACATTCGGGGCCGTGACCAGCCACTAAAGGTCAGCCACATCATCTTTGCTCGTGGACAACTTGTTTGCTTTGCAGCTGCAACCTCCCCTGTGTGTTAGGGCTTAGGAAATCCTCCTCGCCAGCCCACAGCTGGGGGCAGTGTTAGCTTCAGAAGCTGCTATTTCCCATGGAGTTTCTTTTTCTCGCCACTCAACTGCCAGGAGCCTTGAAGCATGGAAGTGATGGGGCGCAGAACGTGTGGTGTGACAGGGGGAGGGGGAGCTGGGTTTGGAGCAGTAGAGGGATCTGGGTGCCCCTGCAGTGAGCACTGAAGTCACATCTTGTCAAATCTTCCCATTCTGCCAGACCCAGCCTGTTCGTTAACTTGGGATTTGGGGGCACTGCTCTGAGGCCCCTCCGTGCTGGCTGGGCTGTGAACAGACCCCTTCTCCTCGGCTTCACCAGGTCCAGGTTTTCATGTGGCTTCCCCTTACCTCCTGCAGCCTGGGGTCTGAGTACTGTGACACTGACACATGGATTCCTGGGAGAAACATTCTGCTCAGCTGACAGCAAAGGGGCCTTTCAGAGGTGTCTGGGATCAGAAAGCTAAAAGCTCATGGGAAGGTGCCTTCTGGTGGTTCTGGCCCCCAGCTTCTAGGAGAAATATGGGGGTGGCTCTGCCTACCCTGGTTCTTCCCAAACTCTGGTACCAACTACCTCTTTCTAAGGGCCAGCACCTATGGGCACAGGTGACAACACCTCTCATAAAAAGCACATTCATATGTTTCCAGGTTCACATGCCATGTCAGCCTTTAAGGACCAAGCCCACATTGCCCCAGCTCCATGGGCCTAATGCTGCAAATGTTTTGGGCAATGCCAGTGATCCCCCAATTGCCCACTTGCCCGTTGTTCCTCAATGGAATAGAATCAGGGAACAATGCAAGCTTCATTTCTGACAACTTGGGTGAACACTGGTTTCAAATAATCAGGCCAGCGTTCGGGCACCCTCCTGACATTCCCACTCACCCTGCAGGAATAGCAGCCTGCCTGGTTCGCTGCTTGCCTAGAGGCAGTCGCTGGGGTCCTGGGTCGCCCAGTCTGGGTGCTGCTAGGTAGGTTACCAGGAGGTTTTATTCCCCTCCCTGGGCTGTAGGCTCTACAGCTTCAGGCCCCTGTGTGTGGCTGAATGTCGTAAAGATACGGGGTTTTGAACCTCAGCAAAGCCAACTCAGGTACCAGAGCGTCACCCCTCAGGCCCTGCAATCAGAAATGTGTCCCCAGGAGGCCAAACATTCAGATGAAGGGGAACCATACACCTGCCCACCAGCTGGGCAGTTGGTCTCTGCTGGAAAGAAAGGCTGTGCTTATGTCAAAGTTGGAGAGAAAGACAGAGTAATCCTCAAGTTCATCTGGCCCCAGTTTATGCTTTTCCCATGAGGGGAAACAATTCATCGGGTTCAAGAGCATGTTGTGCTTTGACTGCTTGCAAAGGCTGACAGCTGCTTTGAGTCTCAGAAATTCAAACCTCCCATTGACTCTCCATGCAAATGGCTTCAGTGGAATTGAGCATGGTGGTTCCAACAAATTATTCGCTTTGATAATCGAAGTGCAAGCAGACCTTCGATGCATTTCGTCTTTCTCTAATCGGGAGAGGTTAATTCTTTAACCCCCTTTT